GAGAGCCTGGTCCGGTGAGAACCCGGCGTGCTCCGTCCCGGCTTTGTAGGGATGCGAGGTCAATGGTCTAACGACTACGGCATGCACGACTATGAGTACCCCCACCCCCACCCCCTCCCCCGACGCCAACAGGAAACGCCCAACGCGCCTCCCTAGCCAACGCGCTTTCGAGCGTCGCCGCCTCCTCTCCGCCCCGACCTAGTCGTGACGAAGCTCTCGTCCGGACAAGAAATCTTGCGGAGGAGGTGGGGGGGTCGACAAGCGGTGGTGCCCCCGGGGGGGGGAGCGGGGACGGGCTCAGCAGGCGACGTGTCGACGGTGAACGCAGTGATAGAAGTGATGACGGCAGTGATGATGATGATGATGATGGTGACAGCAGGGGTGGCGGTGGCGTACTTTTCGATCTGGTGATCGCGAGCGACGTGATATACTCGGTGTCGGTGGTGGAGCCTCTTTTTCTGACAGTCGGCGAGCTCCTCCGTCGTCGTTGTTGCTCTTTTTCCTCGAGGGAGAAACCGGGCGAGGAGGCAAGGCCGCCACGGGAACCCGAACCAGGAGAAGGGGGAGGAGTGGTAGAGAGGCGACAAGCGGCGGGGACAGCGGGGAATGCAAGTGGTGGCGTCGTTCCAGAGGAGGAAGTGCCGGTATTGTCTGCGCCGAAGCCTCCATTACGTCAGGGCGGTCCTTTTGACAACGAAAGCTCGTCTGCTAGCGGCGGCGGCGGCGGCGGCGGCGCTGACAACACGCCCGTGTTCTTGATGTCCCAGAGCTTCGGGTACGACGCAGAGACCGAGAAATCGATCGAGCGGGCCTGCCTGGAGCAGGGCTTGGTCCGAGAGGTGGTGTGGGACGAGCTCCATCTCGCACCCACAACACCGACAACGACAACCCAGGAGCGCCAAGAACAGCAAGAGCCGCCACCACCCGAACAGCGGCAGCAACGGGGGGCCGGTGAGGTCGCCGCGGAAGGGGAGCACCCCTCTCCCGCAAGGAGGGAAGGGGGGGAAGAAGAGGAGCTGCTGTTGGTGTCGCGGCCGCTACGGGCGGGAACCAAGCTGCAACGGTTCTGGCACGCATGACATTGGTTCCTCCTGCTTCTCCTCCTCCGAACTGTTGCTCTTTGGGCGGCACGGGGGGTAAAAACATTGTTTCGTGTGTTGCGCTTTTGTCTCCGCCGTCCCATCTTGATCTTCCGCGGGAGTTGGGGGTCGGCACCGGAACGGGAATGTCATGATCGACCAATCAAACGCGTGGGTTGTCGAGGATCGACCGATCGCATGACGTTTGCTTTTTTTTTTTTCTCTGCAGCACTTTTTGGAACTGCTGCTGTCGCGCCTGTGAATGGAGCTGCGATGGGCGTGCGCTGCTGTTGTGGCTGTTATCGTGGTTGATTGTGGTAGTTGTTTTTGCTGCCCTTTCCTTCCCGTCCGGGATAACTTGTTGGAGCACCGGAGAAACAGAAAATCAATAGGCCCAGAGACCGTCCACCAGTTTCGTTAGTGTCGAAACAATCATTGCGATACTTTTTAGTTGCCGCAGCCGTGCTTGAGGAATTGGCGCGCCATTGTTGTCCCCTGCACCGTGGGATCCTGGGGGTTTATTGGCGACGGTTGCCGACGGGCGTGTGGTAGGAACTTCATTTCGAAGCGGGTGACACTGATGCGTCGTCATCTTCACGCCAACACAGCGCTACTGCTGTTATGACACGTGGTCCATCCAACATTCGGACAACGTCCAAATTGCGGGTCGCTCTACTTGTTGTGGTCATGATTGCAGCCACAGCTCTCTCCTCAGAACCACATCGAACACGGACCTTGGCCGCCTCTATTGTTACAAGATCGTCGTTTAGGCGAAACGACTGATGTTGAGATTGTACATGCTCCCGTCCCATCTGCCGAAGTTCGGGCTAACGTGGCCGCTCTACGGCGCACTCCCGCTCCCGCCCGGGCTTGCAAAGCGAGTACTCCTGGTGTAAAGGTCCCAACATTAAACCCAACAACGTTTGACCGACTGCAAAGTCGTTGACACCGCCAAAGCCCACGTGGACAAAAACAGAACGCCGCCCCCCTGCCAGCACACACATATCGCTACTAGTCTTCTGCTCCACCCCCTTTCCGTCCGTCGCCACCATCACCCCCCCCTCGCCCCCGGCCCCCGCCCCCCCCCCCC